TGGAGTAGCGATTCTTACATCTGATAAAATAGACTTTAAAGTAAAAACTATAAAAAGTGATAATGAGGGCCGCTACATAATGATAAAAGGATTGATCCATCAAGATGAAATAACAATCATAAATATATACGCACCCAATGTCAGAGCAGCCAGACTTATAAAACAAACTCTATTAGACCTAAAGAAAGAAATGGACACTAATACCATAATAGCAGGGAACCTGAACACCCCACTGTCAATATTGGACAGATCATCTAGGCAAAGAATCAGCAGAGAAACACAAGATCTAAAAAACATTCTGGACCAATTAGACTTGGCAGAAATCTACAGAACATTCCATCAAACAGACTCAGAATATTCTTTCTTCTCATCAGCACATGGATCACTCTTCAGGATAGATCAAATGTTAGGTCACAAATCAAGTCTCAACAAATTCAAATAATTGAAATTATACAATACATTTCTCAGACCACAATGGATTAAAACTAGAAATCAATAACTAATGAAATTCTGGAAACTATACAAACACATGGAAGTTAAACAGCATTCTGCCTAATGACATATGGGTCCAAGAAGAAATCAAACAGGAAATCAAAATATTTATTGAAACTAATGGAAATAAAGATACATCATACCAAAACCTGTGGGATACTGCAAACCCAGTACTAAGGGGGAAATTTACACATTTAATCCTTACTTCAGAAGAATGGGAAGATGACAAGTGAATACCCTGATACTTCACCTTAAAGAACTAGAAAAACAAGAACGATCCAAACCCAAAGCTAGCAGACAAAAAGAAATCATTAAGAGCAGAGCAGAACTTAATGAAATTGAAACCCAAAAAAAATACAAATGATCAATGAATCAAAAAGTTGGCTTTTTGAAAAGATAAATAAAATGGACAAACCATTAGCACAGCTAACTGAAAGAAGAAGAGAGAAGATCCAGATAACAAAAATTAGAAATGAAAAAGGTGATATTACAACTGATACATCTGAAATATAAGGAATCATTAGAGACTAGTATGAACAACTATATGCTAACAAATTTGAAAATCTGAAGGACATTGATACATTTCTGAACACAAACAGGCTAGCAAAACTGATCCAAGAAGATCAGGAATATATGAACAGACCAATAATAATAAAAGAGATTTAAGCTGTTATCAGAAGGTTCCCAAAATAGAAGAGATCAGGACCAGATCGATTCACAGCAGAATTTTACCAATCATTCAAGGAGGAATTGACATCGGTTCTGTACAAACTATTCCAAAGGACTGAAACAGAGGCAATTCCCACAAACTCATTCTATGAAGCGATCATCACCCAGATACCAAAACCAGGCAAAGATACAACTAAAAAAGAAAACTACAGGCTGAAATCCTTGAAGAATATGAATACAAAAATCCTCAATAAAATAATAGCTAACTGAATACAGCAACACATATGCAAAATTATACACCACGATCAAGTGGGATTCATCCCAGTGATGCAGGGTTGTTTCAACATACACAAATCAATAAATGTGATACACCATATCAATAAAATCAAACACAGGGACCATATGATCATCTCTATAGATGCTGAAAAACCATTCGATAAAATTCAACATTCATTCATGATCAAGACCCTCTATAACTTAGGTATAGATGGAAAGTATCTCAACATAATTAAACCCATATATGATAAACCCACTGCCAATATCATCCTGAATGGAGAAAATCTGAAAAGCTTTTCCTTTAAGAATAGGAACTAGACAAGGATGCCCACTCTCACCACTCCTATTCAACACAGTGTTGGAATTACTAGCAAGAGAAATCAGAAAAGTGAAGGAAATAAAGGGCATCCGGATAGGAAACGATGAAGTTAAACTGTTTCTCTTTGCAGATAATATGATCCTATATATCAAACAGCCTAAAGCCTCTGCAAAAATACTATTGGAGTTGATAAATGATTTCAGCAAAGTAGCAGAATACAAAATCAACACACAAAAATCAATAGCATTTCTACTCTCCAATAGTAAACATGCAGAAAGAGAAATCCATAAAGCTTGCCCAATTACAATGGCCACCAAAGAAATAAAATACTCAGGAATTCAGTTAACCAGGGATATGAAAAATCTCTATAATGAGAACTACAAACCACTGCTGAGAGAAATTAAAGAGGACGCAAGAAGATGGAAAGATATCCCATGCTCTCGGATTGGAAGAATCACATTGTGAAAATGTCCCTACTACCCAAAGTGATATACAAATTAAATGAAATCCCCATTAAAATTTCAATGATATATATCTCAGAAATGGAAAAACCAATCCAGACATTTATATAGAATAACAAAAGACCATGCATAGCCAAATCAATTCTGAGGAAAAAAAAAAAAAAAAGCTGGAGGCATTACACGACCTGACTTTAAACTATACTACAAAGCTATAATAACCAAAACAGAATGGTACTGGCATAAAAACAGACACACTGATCAATGGGATAGAATAGAGAACCCAGAAATCAACCCACACACCTACAGCCATCTGATCTTTGACAAAGAAACCAAGCATATACACTGAGGAAGAGAGTGCCTCTTCAGCAAATGCTGCTGGGATAACTGGATATCAATAAGCAGGAAAATGAAACTAGACCCATACCTCTCACCCTATACTAAAGACAACTCAAAATGGAATAAAGAATTAAATATACACCCTGAAACCATAAAACTTCTCAAAGAAAACATTGGAGAAACACTTCAGGAAGTAGGACTGGACACAGACACCATGGGCAACCGAATATGACTCCGGAAGCATGGGCACCCAAAGAGAAAATAAACAAATGGGATTATATCAAAGTAAAAAGCTTCTGCATAGCAAAAGAAACAATTAACAGAGTTAAAAGACAACCAATAGAGTTGGAGAAAATATTTGCAAAATATAAATCTGGCAAAGGATTTATTTCCAGAATATGTAAGGAACAGAAATAACTTTACAAATAAAAACAAGTAACCCAATTAAAAATGGGTAAACAAGCTAAATAGGCATTTCTCAAAGGAAGATTTATGAATTGCCAACAGACATATAAAGAAATGTTCAACATCACTCAGCATTCGGGAAATGCAAATCAATACCACACTGACATACCATCTCACCCCAGTTAGGATGGCTAATATCCAAAAGACCATGAATGACAAATGCTGGTGAGGGTGCAGAGAAAAAGGAACTCTCATACATTGTTGGTGGGACTGCAAAATGATGCAGCCTCTCTGGAACATGGTATAGAGGTTCCTCAAGCAATTGCACATAGATCTACCATAGACCCAGCTATCCCACTGCTGGGAATATATCCAGAGGAATGAAAATCACCAAGTCAGAGATATACCTCTTCTCCAATGTTCATTGTAGCACTATTTACAATAGCTAAGAGTTGGAACCAGCCCAAATGTCCAGCATCAGATGAGTGGATATGGAAAATGTGGTATATCTACACAATGGAATACTACTCTGCTATAAAAACGAATGAAATACAACCATTTGCAATGACATGGATGGACCTAGAGAAAATTATATTAAGTGAAACAAGTCAGGCACAGAAAGGGAATTATCACAAGTTATTACTTATTTGTGAGAGCTAATAATAAATAAATAAATAAATGCACAAACAACCAGGGGGGGCGGGCAACAGAAGAACTCACAACAGTTACAATTCCTTGAAGATGATACAACAAGCAAACAGAAAGGACACTGTTAGAAGTTAGGGGGGAGAGGGAAGAGGGAGGGTGGTTTCGATAATTGGCCCCAATAAACCACAACATTGTATATTGACAAAATAAAATAAGATTAAAAATAAATAAATAAATAAATAAAATAAAAAATAAAAATTGCTCTTTAGTACATAAAAAAAATAAAAAATACAATAAATGAAAAAAATAAAAGGAAAACAATGTGGTGTCCATATTGGAGGGGTAGTTTACATTGTATATACATGAGCAATTCTCTTTGCCTATGGAACAATTTGAGGGTGAAAATTCTGATAGAAGACCAAACATATAACTATTTTCTAGACTCAGACATCATTTTTATAGTATAAAAACATCTTTATATCAATTTCCTCTTTTTTTTTCATTAATTCTGCCCTACAACATGAAAATATAAAATGATGTGAATGTTTATGGTTACTATTTTGTAGATGTCAACAGAGCTTAAGGGAGATTGCCCAACCTTCTCTAGAGCATAAAGCGAGACCTTGTTGTGTTTCTTTCTATCAAGCAGCCTCAGAAATAAAACCATTATTTTAGAAGTGGGAGGGGGTCAAAGATACCTAGACACTGAACTATGATGCATCAATGCAATACAGTGACTTTTCTAAGAGCACATAATTAGTATTTAAGCCAAGTGAAAGGCATGCCAATTCAGCACAGGGAAAATTGTGATCTTTGTTTAAGGTTCATACAGATAAAATGAATTATTTTGTCATTCCCAACCCAGTTACCTTGTCAGCTAGGATCCCAGCTGAAGCATAAAACACCCCTGCCCTACTCAGTGTTTCCTGGCAGCTTCTATGGTCCCCAGCATTCTCCCTCCTTGAAGGAGATATACTCTTCCTAATTCAGAATATTTCTGCCAAATAGTATGACAAAGAGGTCTCTAAGTGTTCATTGTACAACAAGCCTTGTGAGGAATGGAGGCCTTCATAAAGGGCCTGGATGTCCATTGAGTGATATGGGCATCATTTGGAAAGTCGACAAAGTACTTTATAGAAATGGCTTTGGTGGTTAGTGGAAAAACTGCAGGTCAAGAATCTAATGGGCTTGAAAGAAAGCCTGGTATTTGTGCACTTGTTTTCCTATGAGTAAAAATGTGGCTTGGGCATCTTTCCCTGATGTGCACTCCATCAGGCTCAGGCAGGACTGTGGTGTGCAAACACTCACTCCACAGCATGGTGTATATAGAATTTTGGACCTGTCAGTAAAAAGATCACTAGTGGTTTCTCAGAAAGAAAGTGTTTTGACCTCACCCGGATCCACAGGGAGCTTTGAATCCTCATGTTTTCACGAAATTTCTCCATCATGTTAAGAAAATTCTGATCTTTATAATCAAAACGATTCTGGAAAATAATGGAGCAGATCACATTGCAGGGAGCACAGCCCAGGATAAAAGTGGGATCACATGGTGAAGCTAAAAAATCGAAAACAATACAGAAATGTACATGTGAATACTTTGACTATATTATAAGTAAAGGTAATTTAGAAATTTCCTTACCTATAAATTCTCTGAAGAGCAAAAAAGAATTCAGCATGCATAAAATCAACACATCACCTGTACCTTAAACCTCAGTTAGGGGCCAGCCAGTGACTCACTCAGGAGAGTGTGGTGCTGATAACACCAAGACAATGGGTTGGCATCCTATATAGGGATGGCCAGTTAGCTCACCTGGGAGAGTGTGGTGCTGACAACACCAAGTCAATGGTTAAGATCCCCTTACTGGTCATCTTTTGAAAACAAACAAACAAACAAAAAAAAAAAACTCATTTGACCATTATAATCTCATTAGTTAAATAATAATATTTCAAATGCTCGATCCACATTTCCTGCCTTTATTTACACCCTTTTAAACCCAGGTGTCGGTTATTTTGAAAGAAAAAAGTTTTTTAAAACCTACTAATTCAAGTTTCCAAAGCAGAATCGCATCTGTCTGCAATGTCTGTAGACCATAAAGCTTTGAGTAAAAAGAGAGAGAATACTTGAGGACCTGAAAACTATTTATATATACTGAATAGCTGAAAGAATCATGTGTTCAGCCAATAAAGAGGAACTAAGTAGAGAGAGACTGTGTCTGAATTCGTGTATTTAAAGGAACAAATATGAAAACCAGTATGCATCCATGTTATATCTGTATTTATACTAACAAATATGAAAACCAGTATGCATCCATGTTATATGAGAAGAAAAACTCATATAAATGAACAGTAAGTATAAGATGGATTTGTTTGTCTAAAAAAAGAAATGTGAGATTTATATTTAAAATTTAAATTCCAGGTAGGGAAAATTTAAAAACAAAAGTGATAAATGGAGTCTTCTTATTTATCATTTCAATGTAAAATAAAAAAAAGAAAAGAAAATGCATTCCCTTCTATAGGAACTAAATTTCCTTAAATTCCAATTATCATCCAAATTTGAATTTTTTTGGTAAAGCTACCCTTTTGTGGATTGTGGGATATTATTCTGCATTGCCGTCAACAGAATTGTATGTTTTACCAAATTTTTCTCCATCAGTTAGGCCAAATCTATCGTTTTACGGATTAAGAAATTAAGTTACAGGAAAGTGAGGTTCTTTGTTTTTTGTTTTTTGTTTTTTCATGGCTAGTCCATAAAATGAGTTTCTTACATTCAAATGATCAAAGAACTGCATACATAAAGAGCTCACAAAATCACACTATGGAGCCTTAGTAAGGGTGACTTGAATCAAAAGTGTTCTGAATAAATGGTAGGGCATTGAACAGCAGGAAACCTGCTGAGTTACCAGCTTCTATACCAGGTTTCTTAAAAATATCAAGGCTTTGAGTTTTGAGAAATGTTTTATTTTAGCCACTAGGTAGGAGGGTAATAGGGGATGTTTGGAGGAGTGTGTATCTATGTCCCTGTGCGTGTGTGTGTGTGTGTGTGTGTGTGTGTGTGTGTGTGTGTGTGTGTGAGTGTCTGTGATTCACAGTTAAGATCTGATTTTTAGTCTTTCCTTTCACTTCATTTGGAAAAGAAAACTTAAAAAACAAGGGAATTTGAAAACCAAGCAGATAATCAGATTCATTATGACAAACACTTCATACTTGAGTAGAGTTGGCAGTGGGAGGAAATTAATTACCACAAATTTCTAACTCAAAATTCACTGAACATTAGGCAAAGAGATATGGAAAATTGAAAACAGAGCCACGCTACTCTTATGGAAGACAGAATAAAGAGTAATTGATAATAGTAGAAATCTAGTTGAATAAATCTGTTTTTTAAATTTCCATGTGCAAGTTTTAGAGAATTCTGTTCTACCATATATTTCCTCCAGATAAATAAATCAGTACAGTAAGCAGTGGGCAACAAGAAATAATTAATGCTGGCTGCTTTTAAATAGTGTGGTGTTTACAGAGGAATAATAACTGATGAGAATTGTGGTGAGACATGCCTAAGCAATTAAAACCCTAAATGGCATCATTACTGGACAGAACAGGCACCATACTGAAAGAAATCCACAGATATGTCAGTGATGCTGTTGGTGCAAATATAGCCCAATTGAAAGAAATAACATGTGACTTTGTTCCAGCTACATAAGGGTGTGATGGGGTCATTCATACCATGTCTGGTCTCCAAGTATTTTCTGGTGAAATATTCTCTAATAGGTAACCCACATGATTGCTACAGGGAAAACAGTTCTCATTAATTCTATCAAAAATTAAATCAAACCTGTTTTATGATTTCTGATTTGAAGTCAAAGAAACAAAGTTCAGAAGAAAATAGGATTAAACCACACTCTACACACAATTGTACCCGCACACACAATACACATACACAAAAGCTCCCTTAGTCTCTGCTTCAAAGCAGCCCTCCTCCACGTGAGGGCTGACCACCACTGCCTGTAATGAAAGATCTAGCTGCTCCTGAGATGTTTCCAAGGATGTCACTGCAGGAGAGAGCAGTCTGTTAACGTCAGCACT